ATAATGTGTTTTTACATGGCACTCTTGATAAGGTGGTGTACATGAAGGTACCTGAAAGTGTTCCTAATCCTGCTGGTAAAGTGTGCTTGCTTAAGAAATCTTTATATGGTTTTAAGTACGCTTCTCGTCAATGGTTTGCTAAGCTCCTTGATGAGCTTAAGTTCCTTGGTTATTCTTAGTCTAAATGGGACAATAGCTTATTCTATAGGATATGTGCTCTTCACACTACTTTGATTTCTATATATGTCGATGACATAATTGGTACAGGTAGTGATTTGGGTTCTATCAACTCCTTGAAGACTCACTTACATCACACTTTCACCATCAAAGATCTGGGAAAGTGGAACTACTTCCTAGGTTTGGAGGTTGGTTATTTGGATTCTGGTATTTCTCTCACACAAAATAAATTCACCAAGGAGTTACTTAAGGCATATGGTATTTCTAATTTCAAGAAGGTTGTCACTCCTTTGCCTCTCCACTTGAAACTTTCATCAGATGATGGTAATATCTTACTTGATCCATAGCATTATAGGAGAATGGTGGGGAAGCTTAATTTCCTGACCAATATAAGGCCTGATTTGGCTTATAATGTCCAGACATTGAGTCAATTCTTAAGGATCCCAGGTCCTCTTATTTACAAGCTTTGAATCATACCCTTCATTATGTTGTTGCTACTGCACCAAAGGGTATCTTGCTTCATGGTACTATTGTAACACCCTAAAAATTCATTTCCTTTAAAATACTTGTTTTTCTCTTTTAAAAACTCAAAATAAGAAAATCTAAGACATTACCACCACCGTGAAAACGACTAAGGAAATTATCAAAGACACACAGCGGAAGACTATCTTTAAACCTTTCAAGACAAGTATACTTTAAAAGTCAACCAAATAAAAGTAAAGTCAAACAAAAATTTAACAAAGTCAACCTACAACTTGGAACTATTGTAGGCCCTTACCAAAACCGAATAGAACTTAAAACCTTTGAATTAGTCTCACAAGCATAACAATAATATAATAAAAAAAAAAGCAATAAATCACATTATAATCTGATGGAAACTAAGCATGTTTCGCTCTTCACTCATGCCCATCATGAATATGCTTCATCACCTAAAAAGTTCCTCTCTACTTGTCCCAACTAGTCGCCATTAGAAATGGGTCGTCGTAGGGCCAAGATAAAGAAAAGGCCAAACAAACATACAAACACACAATCAGCAATGCTGAGTACATAAGCGTAAATAGAACACACTAACATGCTTTCACCCTATCATCACACAACTTACCTTGTTGCACCTGCTTACAAACATAGAGCATACAACATGACCATCTAATAAATAACTAATTTATTTATTTAGCTTGATTGCGCATCAAACGGGTTTCCTTCATAACCTACCTCAATAAAGGGGTACTAACATGGGAGCTAACCGTGCTAATATAAAAGAACCACTCGTAAGTGGCGGAATTCTTGCGCATAATAATTTTGAAAGTACAGCGTCCTATATCCCCAGTAGAATTTATTGTTAAATATAAAACCCCATAACTCCCCCCATGTGTTCAAACTAAAGGTAAATACGTTCCAAGAGTTTTGGTGCGTAATCTCTTTCACTTTATGTTATATTTTTTTAGACGTAGTGATGACTCTCAAACCATAACACAATCAATCCTAATAATTATCAAACAATTAAATATACCAATTTAATTCTTGAATGATTAGTGACCACATAATATTAAATGTTGAACCATTTTTAAATCTACCTCGGTGTCAAAGACACCGTAAACGCATAATGCATCACAATTTCTATCCCTCGGTGTTAAAAACACCTTAAGTGCACTAGACACCAAAATATAATTTATTCCTCGTATACAAAGACACTTAAATAGCTCCTTTCTCATGCTTATAGCATCAATAAAAATGAACCGTAAAAAATACATTTTCAATATTTCAAACCAAATTAAACATTTAGTTTAATTAAATAAACCTTGAAACATGCCAATAATAAAAATATGGTTCAATGATAATATTCCAATATCATCAATCCAATAAATAATTTATTTCAATTAATCATGCTTCACAAATAGCTCACCAAAACCATTCTCAATTCAATCACTCCAATTCAAATCACCAATCTCATTTCAATTCCTTCATTCCAATCAATTTCTAGCATGGCACTAACTTGGAATTAATTAAGTAAATCCTATCATGTTTCTACACGCTTAATAAATTTCTAAGTACGCTTACGTACCTCAAATAAGCTCTTAAAATAGTCGAGTACACTATAACAATTCTCGAACCAACTCTCCTACATAAAGGGACAATAATACTATATTAATTACCCTTGTATACACAATTTATAGAAACTTAAACTAACTTTAATCAACTTATAATAATCTAAAAATTATTTTAAAAAAAACTCCTAATTTACCTCTCTTTTAATGGTTAGTTAAACCCTTTCATTAAAATCACAATTATATTACTTTAAATAAATTTCAGCAATATAATTTATTTAAAATATCATCAAAACTCCATAAATATTCAATCTTTAAGTTTTATTAACACTTCCAATCAATGCGTATATAGAACCCCCCAAATTAGTTGCAAGTTAAAACCCTAAAAATCAATTCTTTTATAATTAAAACCCTAGCTTTTAATACTTTATAAAATCTCAATGGTTCAATGATTTCCCGGACGGTATGGTAATTCATGAACCTATAACGGTTTTGGATCATGCGGCCATCACTTATGATACTAACTCCTTGGTGATCAAGTCGAATAGGCCGTATCAAATTGAAACATGGTGTTTGATTTTTCCTGAAATAAAGGAGTTTATTGCGGAGGTTTGGAGCTTGGAGTGCACGGGTTCTGCCATGTTCAAGCAAGTTCAGAGATGTAAGTGGTTACGTCATAAAATTCAACGATGGTGCTTGGACAATAAAAAATTTGGGGTATTGAAGAAAATACTCATTGGGACTGCAAGTTCAAGGTACTAACATTTCAACTTTACAAGATGGGAGTAATTATGTGCAAGTTATCAATGACCGATTCACGAAGATATCTATGGATTTTCTTTATTGGCAACAACGTATGAAGCACAGATGGATTAAGGAAGGGGATTGTCCTTCAAATTTGATGTATAATCGTGTTCAGCAAAGGCAAAATAGAAGAGAAATAATCACTTTGAGGACATGTGATGATGATTGGGTGATCAACCAAAAGAACTTGGAGGTGCTAATTCATGATACACTCAAAGAAATCTATATTCCTGCTAGACAGGAACCGGATAATCATGAGGAAAGGGTGAATTTAGTTCTTCAGGAGTTAGATTTACCAAAAATTTTAGAGTTGGATGCTAACGATCTCGTTAAACCTTTAACAGCGCAAGAAATTCGGAAAGCAATGTTTTCTTTTCATAACCTTAAGGCTCCGGGGCCGGATGGTTTCATTGCGGAATATTTCCATCAACATTGGGATACGGTTGGCACTTCGGTTGTTGAGTCAGTACAAAATTTTTTCTCTATAGGTTACTTATTAAAGGAGCTTAATGCTTCTTTATTAGTTATGCTTCCGAAAGTGGATATTCCCGAAATGTCTTCGCGATTCCGCCCTATAAGTCTCTGTAACACTATTTATAAGTGCATGGCTAAATGCCTTGTAAATAGAATGAAGCATCTGTTACTGTCCCTTATTAGCGAGTTTTAACATGCTTTTATGCCGGGAAGATATGTCAAAGATAATGTTCAATTGAGCCATGAACTTCTTCATCTAATTAACACCAGCAATGGGGTGTCTACTAAAGCAGTGATAAAATTAGACATATCCAAAGCTTATGACCGAGTTGACTGGGGATTTTTTACTAAAAGTCCTAATAGTGTACAGTTTTCCTCCGGCTTAGGTACAATGGGTTTCCCACTGTATCTCTATAGTGTCGTATAAAACACTAGTCAATGGCCAAGTTTCTGAGTCGTTTAAGCCGACTTGTGGGTTGCAGAAAGGGGATCCCCATCTCCATATTTGTTTGTCTTCTGTATGGACATCCTGTCTCGTATGCTCTCCATGGCGAAAAATAGTAATCAAATTTAGGGCTTGCGGGTGACTCGGAGATCCCCTTGTATATCACACTTATTTTTTGCAGGTGATGCTATGTTGTTTTTCCAGGCGTTTGAGTTTTCATGCAGGAATATTGTAGAAATCTTGACGAGGTTTGGTGAGGTGTCAAGGTAGCAGCTCAACTTGGACAAGTCCTTTGTTAAGTTTATCAAGTGCGCCCAACAGGCTGAAATTGAGGAGTATAAAAATATACCTCGAATAGGGCAGGTTTCCTTGATGAAAAGGCACTTGGGTGCCCCTATTGATTTCTCTACAGGGAAGAAAAGGGCTTTTCAGTTCTTGATAGATAAAGTTTCAATGAGAATAATGTCTTGAAATACTATTAATTTACCTCTATCTGCAAAGCTAGTACTGATAAACACGGTGCTGATAAGAATTTTTCACATGTTATGAAATGTTTCAAATTACCCACTTCTGTTACTAATAAATTGATTCTTTGATAGGAATGTTCTTCTGGAGGGAGGATAAAGGAATGCATTGGGTGAAGAGAGAGACCTTATAACAGCCAAAAGGAATGGGGGGTCTTGGCATTCGTGCCATGGGATGCTTAAATGAGGCCTTGCTATTTGAACAAGTTTTTAGAATGCATTGTAATCCCGTAATCCCCAGTTGCTAGTTGCTCGTGTTTTGGAGCCAAATCATGAGTTCTCGATTTGCACTGGTAATCATATGACAGTGAGTGCTGGTAACATTTTCCTAGGGTCGGCGTGGCTTTCGATATGTGGGGAATAAACTAGTACAGGGCTATGGCTGGAAAATAGGAAATGGAGAGAGAGTTAAAATTGCGAATATGAGGTGGGTACAAGGCGCTATACCTGAACTGAAATAAGATCTTATCCTTCGTGGCATAGGCTCGGGTAGGGTTAAAGATCTCATAATGGAAAACCCAAGACGATGGAATGCAGCTATTGTACGTGAATAATGAATGGGAAACGGCCAAAAGAATTCTTGAGATGGAATTACCAGCGACCGATGAGAAGGATTTTCTTTACTGGAATTATCACCCTTCCGGTAACTATTCTGTTAAATCGGGTTATGCTTTTTTAATGCGTAGTTCTTCTTTGGAACAGGTTTTCGTCCAAGATTACACTTTCTTTAAGCTCATTTGGAGTTTAAATATCCCCTCAAAGTGGAGCTTATTTTTATGGAAGTTAGTTATGAATGGTTTGGCTGTCAAGTCCAACTTGATACAGTGTGGGGTGGATGTTGAAAAGGCCTGTGATTCGTGTGGAATGGTGGATGAAGATTTGCAACACCTTTTAAGGTTTTGCTCTTTTGTGAGGTATGCTTGGAATAATTGTCCTTTGCACATTTTCTCTAAAACTAATGAATCTAATCCTTTGAGACACTGGATTCAGCAACATATCCTGCTCTTTCATAGCGAGGATGGAAAACGAAGTGAACGACTACATATCTTTGTGGGAGTATTGTGGAGTCTATGGTTAACCAGAAATGGACGATTTTTTCAAAATGAAAGGGGGTATCAGGCATACTATTTTAGACATTTTAGTCAAACTATGAATAGTCTTGAATCTTTCCTCAAGCCAGATAAACCTCCTACGGGGATCTCTCGACACTAGGATAGTAATGGGGATCAGCCACCAGAGGGTATTGTGGGGCTAACATTCGCTGTAGAGAGGATCTCCCTGATGCACCTTTACAAAATAATGTTGGGGTGGTTATTATGGTGGATAGGTCGTGGGACAAGACTACGGGACATGCAAGTTTTGGGTGGGCTTATTCTCTTGATGCTGTTAACTTTTTGGATGGAGGAGGGGAGTATGGCACGACTATGTCAACCTTGCATGCGGAATTGGTGGCTTGCTTAAAAGCCATCAAATGGGCTCACTTAAAAGGCTACCAATTCATTACAATTTACACAGATCCAATTTCTATTATCCATATGATGCGGTTTCCTAATATAAGGGAAGTTTGACTACTATGGCCCTTTGAGGAATTACTCAAGGATGGAAGTTCTTTTGATATATGCACTATTTGGAAAGTGGTAAGGGATCAACTATCAAAAGCGCACTTTATAGGGGGTATTTGTGGACGTAATTTAGTTAATTTCTCAGTGTAATTTTTCTTTTAGTTGCTTTTGTAAAAAAAAAAAATAACAAAATAAAAAAAAGATATAAAATCTGAAAATAAAACACTTTATAATCATAAATTTACAATCTTTAATCTTCAAAACATAATTATAAAACATACTAATCATGTTTAGACAATTAAAATCAATACCCAAAATATATAGTTATAGGAATAATAATTAAAACAAGGAGGAGAGAGGAGATGGTGGCTCACGGTGTTGGGCGTGACTCGCCGGCAAGGGTGACATGGAGGTGGGATCGCCAGTCAGTGATGGATGTATGGCGTGAGTGGGTTTGGGGCACCAAAAGTCCCACGCACAACAAGAAGAAGAGGGGAAAGAATAAGAGAATAAAGAAAGAAAAGAAAAGGAAAAAAAGAAAAGAAAAAAAAAAAAAGAAAAAAAAAAGAAAATAAGGAAAAAGAAAAATATAATAGACAGATGGAGTACTTACTTTGCAACTATGATTTTAAGCCTCTTTGAGTGAGAAATTTTTAGGGTTTTGAGAGGTATTTATATAGTAGAGAATAATGTTTAAGTTTGGGCTCAATAAATAAATGGGCTTGAGGTATGTAATATTTGACCCACAAGGGTTCAAATAAAGGGTTGGACTTATTTAAATGAAGTAGATTATTCCAATAAGAGTATGTAGGACTAGTTTACCTACGATATTTTAAACAATGCCTAATAATTAGCAAACGTTTAGCTCAAAATATATTTTACTTTTTATAAAACCTTATATTTAAAATACTTTAACCCTTTAAAATATTTAATTAAAATACTTAAGCCCTTAAAAATATATTTTATAAATACTTAAATACTTTATAAAAATACATAAAAATACGGAGTATTACATTCTATCCCCCTTAAAAGAAGTTTCGTCCACGAAACTTAGGTACGAAAACTTTAAAAACTCGTTTGAAGACGAATAAGTGCTTGTAAATTATGAAAATTTCCTTAATATTTTTAGTTGTTGTACGATACATTTGTAATACTTACTTTCTACCTCATATATTCATTAACACACAAACTAGTGTGTAAAGTAACCAACTTAATAACCAGCTTTCACAAATAAGTGTGTAAGATAACAACTTCACTAACAAACTCACAGTAAATAATTTGTAAACTATTAAACTATCTAACAAACTCACACTAACATTAGTTTAAGAATCAAATTTGATAATAAACTTACATATCCTTGTGTGTAAGACAATCAAACTAAATAACAAAATCAGTGTAAAACTGATCGAAAAAGGACTTATAATGCCAAAATTATGGGAAAAGCGCGTAATTCTATCGCACTTTACCCCCTTGAAAGAAAATGAGTTACGCCCCCGTAACTCCATTTAACTCAACTTTAGAATTGAGTTATTCTTTATATTCAATTTTTGGTAAAGTCATAACACTTCTTCATATTCATTCCTTGTTGCAAGTACTAATAATATTATCTTTTCCTTACTCATTATTCCAAAAATAATCAATTTCCATCTACACAATCTTTTAGTAAAGGTATGAAGCACTATGCTATTCAAAACCTTGATTTTGTCTAGCTTTCTTGTTAAACTCAAGAATAATGTGGAGAAAACGGCTTAACCCTTTTGCATTAATAATACTCACATATATATACACAATACAATCAGAAAATATAAGTTGCCTAAAACTCCTAATAAGATAAACTTAACATAAATACAATATTAACAAATATAACCAAACCGACTCTAATACTCCCCCTCAAGTTGGAGCATGCAGATCGCGAATGCCCAACTTGCGTAATAGAAAACCAAACTACTGACGACCAAGAGCCTTGGTTAAAATATCTACCAACTGCTGACCTGTCGAAACATAGGAGGTAGAAATATTACCGTTAATCAACTCATCACGAACAAATGACAATCTACCTCAATATGCTTCGTACGTTCATAAAATACTGGATTCTTAGCTATATGCAAAGCCGACTAATTATCACAAAACAACTGCATGCTTTGAATGTTATTACCAAGAAAAAAACAACTGTTTTAACCATTTCAACTCACGAGTAGTGAGAGCCATAGACTTGTATCCGGCTTCAGACGAGGATGTGGCTACAGTAGGTTGTTTCTTAGTCTTCCAAGAAACCGGGGAACGACCTAAGAAAACAAAATAACCAGACAAGGAATGTCGAGTCAATGGATAGCCATCCAATCACTATATATCACTAAATCAGACATAGCTCGCAACAAGATGCCTTGTCCCGGACTACCCTTAAGGTAGCGCAAGACACGAACGACCGCATCCCAATGGGAAACCTGTGGAACACTCAAAAATTGTGCCAAAACATGAACTGAATAACTCAACTCTGATCAAGTGACCGACATATACAAGAAAATTGTCTTTTCGTAGCGATTATTTTGTAGTGATTGTACATTCGCTACAATATGCAAGTATGTTTGTGAAATAATTAAGGAAATCGTATCATTTTACAATCTCCATGGTTTTCCCATATAAAATCGATACAGAAAACATAATAATACATATCCCCACTATTTTTGCACGTTAATAAAATTATGAGAAATCGTAGCATTTACAATCGCCAATAAATCCCAAAAATCGATACAAAAAGCCTTTCCTACACTAGATATATAAATATTGTTTAACAAAGAATACATAAAATATGTCATAGTTTATTGGTGAAACATATATAAGAGTTTGAGGTTGCATGTTCGAATCTTGTAAAGATCATATCTATGATTTTTTTTTTTGAAGAAAATGAGTTCAACGTTTATAGCGATTATAATCGCTACAATAATCACCACGATTGGATGTAGTTTTTCGTATCGATTATTAAGGCCAACCCCAGCGATATTGTATCGAATGCCCATTCGTTGGGAAAGCTTTTTGTTGCAACTACAATCGATACTAAAGGTTAAAATAATCGCTAGGAAAAGGTTATTTTCTTGTAGTATACCAACTGTCCAACCAAACGACGATACTGTTCTGGTTGAGCGAACGGCTCACCGGAAGCATGTGCAGGACGATGGTTCTGCTCCATCAAAGTATCAATGGGTTTACAACCCAACATCCCTATCTTAGTCAAAATATCTAGAGCATACTTTCGTTGAGAAAGAAATATGCCCTCCGAACTCCGAGCAACCTCAATGCCCAAAAAATACTTAGGTTTGCACAAATTCCGATAGTGAGAAACATCCTCATAATTCCGATGCCACGAAGGAGGATGTTTCTCACTATGACCACGACCCAAATTATCTGACGAACTCCCCCTCAAATAATCCGGCGAAATCACAATATTTTCATCAACTATTTCTCGCTTAACAATACTAGTCGGACGCTCGTCATTACCAAAACCACCAAGAGACGGCGAACCATGACCAAACGCCACCACCGGCTGCCGAAAACTCGCGGACTGAGGAGCGGGCTGACCAGCATTGGCGGTTGGCTCGGACTGCCCAGCCAAACCAGGATGGTGCGGTGATTGTCCAACACTGGATGGATGGGTAGCAGCAGCCACTGTTGCTGTTGTTGGCAGGCTACCTGGCAGCTTGTGCCGCAGCCTGGCCGTGGCTAGGAGCAGGTTGCCGCGGCTGGGCTATGGTGCGGGCTGCCTCAAACATAGCGTCCCCCACTTGCTCACCTATCAACGAAAAATATGTCATATCATCATCCTCCAACACCGGCGGAGTCGCAAAATATTTTTCCCACAATAAACGTTGGTCATTCGAAAGAGACTCTAGATACGAGAATTTATCCTCAAAGAATTACACATCTCGACTCACAAAGAATTCATTCGTCTCCAAATCATATAGACGTCAACCTTTCTTTCCATTAGGATAACCAACAAAGAAACATTTACGACTCCGAGAATCAAACGTATCCTTAACCCGAGGACGATTCGCAGCATAAGTAAGGAAACCAAAAACTCGTAAACTGTCATACGACATTGTTTGACCAAACAAACAATCATGAGGTGTCTTACCCTAGAGAACAGGAGTCGGAATCCTATTAATCAAATGAACAGTCGTCATAACACACTCACCTAAAAACTAATTGGGCAACTTTGCTTGAAACCGAAGAGCTCGTGCCACATTCTAAATGTTTTGATGTTTACACTCAACTCTACCATTCTGTTGAGCCGTTTCAACACATGACATTTGATGCAAAATGCCTTTCTAAGCAAAGAAAGAACCTAAACTGTGAAACTCCTGACCATTATCACTACTAACCACCTTGACCTTACGCCCAAATTGAGTCTTAGCCATAGCAAAAAACTCACGAACCAAGTGAGAAGCTACATATTTACTAACCAGTAAGAGCACTCAAGTAGAACGCGAAAAATCATCAGCAATGGTAAGAAAATACCGAGCATCACAACTCGACAAAATCTTATTTGGACCCCAAATATCACAATGAATCAAATCAAATATACCAGATGCTCAATGAGTACTCAATAGAAAAGAGTTGCGGGGTTGCTGCCCTATAAAACAAATATCACAGTTA